GGCGAAGGGCACGTCGTCGGCGAATCGGTGCTCGGCGTGCGGGAAGAAGGTATGACCGATGTGTTGTCCCGCATGGGCGGTTGTGGTGGTGTTAGAGTGCGCCGTCTCGTCGCCAGGGTCCCGGTGGTTGTCGCTTGATTTGGTGATTGTGCTTTTTTTATGTTTTCTTTTCTTAATAAGGGAAAAAGGGGGAAATGACGAACATGGTTTTAGGTGGTGGAGGAGATGAATGTTATAGAAGGCGTGATATGTGATATTTAGCTTATTCATTTTAATTTAGTTGTTTTGTTTTTTTTATTTTTTTTTTAATTTCAATTGATCGTGTTTGCTTTGTGGTTGGTGTGTTATCGATGAATGCGTTATGGATGGAAAAAAGAACGTGTGGGAGAAGGTAAAATGTTAATTCGTGCGGTTCGGTGGGTGTTGTTGACGTAAAGGGTGAAGCTCGACTCCGTCGTATAAAAATGATAGAATATGTAAATGTGGAAATTCTAAGGGTTGGTTGTTAAGCTTACGAGTTGGTTGTGAATGTTACGGGTTGGTTGTTAAGGTTACGCGTTGATTGTTAAGGTTACGGGTTGGTTGTGGAGGTTACATGTTGGTTGTGATGATTACAGGTTGGTTGTGGAGGTTACGCGTTGGTTGTGGAGGTTACGGGTTGGTTGTGAAGGTTACACATTAGTTGTGAAGGTTACGCATTGGTTGTGAAGGTTACGCGTTAGTTGTGAAGGTTACAGATTGATTGGTAAGGTTACAGGTTGATTGTTAATGTTAACTTCACAACCAACGCGTAACCTTCACAACCAACGCTTATCCTTAACAACCAACCCGTAACCTTAACAACCAACGTGTATCCTTCACAACCAACCCGTAAGCTTCACGACCAATGCGTAACCTCCACAATCAACGCGTAACCTCCACAACCAACCCTTAGAATTTCCACATTTGCTTATTTCACCTTAGGAAATTCGATCAATTTATCATATCCTTTACCCTTTTAGTCTTAGTGTCCATATATAATCATACCTCAAAGTGCCCTCAAAAGGTGATTGTAGGTCCCATTACATTGTCACAGGGGTGGAAATAATTTTCCCCAAATATTAAAGTAGTCACAGTTCAGTGATGAGATGACTCTTACAAAGTACAATAACAAATATGAATGAAACACTCTAGCCAATCACATAGCCAAGCTGTCAAGGCGATTAAAGTGATCATGTAATTAAAATAGCCAATCTAGAGTGAATAAAATGTTACGAGTTGATTGTTAAGGTTACATGTTGGTTGTGAATATTACTGGTTGATTGTTAAGGTTACGCATTGGTTGTGAAGATTACAAGTTGGTTGTGAAGGATACACGTTGGTTGTTAAGGTTACGGGTTGGTTGGTAAGAATAAGCGTTTGTTGTGAAGGTTACGCGTTATTTGTGAAGTTAACATTAACAATCAACCCGAAACTTTAACAATTAACCCGTAACCTTAACAATTAACCCGTAACCTTTACAACCAATGTGTAACCTCAACAATCAACCCGTAACTTCCACAACTAACACGTAACCTTAACAACCAACCTGTAACCTTCACAATCAACCCGTAATACCTTTACAACTAATGCGTATCCATCACAACCAACCCGTAACCTTAAAAAACAACACATAACATTCAAAAACAACACGTAACCTTCACAACTAACATGTAACACCTTCACAACCAAAACGTATCATTCACAACAACCTGTAACAACCAACCTTTAACCTTCACAACCAACCCGTAACCTTCACAACCAACGCGTAACCATAGCTGCTTCAACCTCAACAATACTTGGCCTTGGTGGAAGAGACCTATGGAGGTTCATGATCTCTTCAGTGACTCCATTAACTGATTGCAACAAAGGACCCATCTTTCTTCAAAGTTTGAGAAACCCAGATGAAAAAAGATCACTAAAGGACTTATAAAGAGAAATCCACATAAAAAATGAGATAATATCAACTCGTAACCTCCTCCACCGCCCTATGCACCGCCGCCCCGAGCTCTTTCGCCTTGATCCTCATTTCCTCGTACTCCTCCCCCTATCACTCTCTTCAAAGCCCCGACGATCTCCTCCACCGTCGCCACCACCGTCCCCTTCCCGCTGTCATCCTTCCTGAACCCCTCCCACATCCTCACCCCTATCCCTATCACCTCCACGACCATCTCCGCGTTGATGAATTGCTCGTGGAACAGCGACCACGTCACCATTGGGACTCCAACGCTCACCGATCGTCTGCGACTCCATGGCTACGACCTCCTCGATCTCGAACTCCTCGCTGTTGGAGCTCCGGAGGACGATAGTCTTCTTTGAATCGTTGGTGGCCACCATCGGGAAAAGGGATGGAGGAAACCCTTTCAAATCATCACAGATAAAAAAAAAGAGAAAAAAAGGGTATTATAGTCTTTACATGTTTAAAACTTTTGGTTTTTGTGTTTTAGGGATTCAGAGAATAATGAGTTTACTTTTGGGGGTTTTGGGAACGTTGAACAAGCATGGGGAGGAGAATAATTGTTAGGAAATTAGGGGCCGGAAGCAATTTCCCCAAATAAAATTCTGAGGTGGACCCCACTTCACCAAATACACATATAAGTACGTGCTCCGAGCACAGCTGCCGTCGTATTTTCTCCTCATCAGGACAAAAAACTCAGAAATCCTTAACAAATCCCATCGTCTTCTTCCTCTCCTCGTTTCCATTCTAGTCAACCCCCAAAATCCCCCCGCAAAATGGGCAAAAAGTCCAGTGACACCGGCAATCGCCGGTCACTCCCCCTCCTCGTCGCAGCCCTCCTCGTCTCCTGCTCCTTGGCCTACATGGCCTTCTCCTTCCCTTTCCATCGCCCAAACCCAAGAATTCTCACTCAGAACCAGAATCTAGGAGTTGGGTCTTTGAGTGGGGGCTCTGAGGAGGAGTGCTGTAGAGGGGTTGAGCACTTGGAGCTTTGGGGGTCAGCGGTGAAATGGGGAACGGATCACAAGTTCAATTCTTCTGTGGGTTGCTGCAGAGCTTGCAGGGCAATGTGCGGGGGCGATGATGGGCCTTGTTTGTGTGATTCTTGGGTTTTTTGTGGGGATAGGGAGAGGTGCGGGGAGAAATTTGGTGAGGTAATTGAATTTGATTTTGATGGGGGATTTTGTTTTTTTTTTGTTTGTTTTAGATGATTTGGTGAAATGGGTGTTGGAGAATTTTTATTTTTATTTATAAATTGTGGTGCATGTCGCTTTGCAGCTGATTCTAGTGATATGTTTGGCTAACTTATAATTTGGGGAGGTATAAGTTGAAACTTAAAAATTTCTGTATTTCTTGTTTTTAGGTTGCTTAGTGAAATGGATATTGGTGAATTTTCATGTTTAAGGTAATTTGTGGTGCATGTTACTTTCCAAATAATAGTTGTTGGTCCGAGGTGTTATGGTGAATTGGGTTATAGGAAGTGTTTATATGGACAAATTTTCAAAACCATCCGCTTTTAAAATTTATTTTTAAAAAACGACCCATTTCAACCTTAATTTTAAAAATCGACCCAGTTGGTTGAAACTGGGTCAGTTTTTGAAAAAAAAATTTCAAACTTCACGGGAGTTGAACTCCTGTGAAGTTTTGTTATGAGAAAAAACTTCACGGGAGTTCAACTCCTGTGAAGTTTGGAATTTTTTTTTCTTCAAAAACAGACCCAGTTTCATCCAACTAGGTCTGTTCTTGAAATTAAGGTTGAAAGGGGTCCTTTTTTGGGAATAAATTTCAAAACCGGATGGTTTTGAAAATTTGTCTGTGTTTATATTGATTGATTTTAGTGATACATTCAATAAGCTTTTCTTGTGGTAATTAGTGTGGAAGTAGAAAAGATAGAGTTTTAATAAATTTCTAGTGCTATTGGTGAAAAATTAGGTGAGGGAATGGAACTTAATTATTTTTGGGTTGTGTCTTCCTTTTTTGTTAAGTTATTATTTGGTGAAATAGGTATTGGAGAATTTTTGATTTTTTTTGGGATAAATTGTGGTGCATGTCCATTTCCAGCTTGTCTTTATTGATATTGGTTGGTTTGGTTAAATGGGTTTTGAGAATGGTTGGTGGGACTGATTCTATTAGAGTTGGCGTCGGGGGCAATTGAAATATTTTACACATTTCGGTTTTGCTGCTTAATTTTTTTAGGTGGTTTGAGGAGATGGGTTATGGGAAATTTGGGGTTTGCATGCGGGATTCTATGGGCAATTTTGGTAAAAATGGTCATATAAGTATTTAACTTCTTTCTGTTGAAACTCCTAGTTGTTTTTTTTGCAATCCTTTTATAACATGTACTTGGTGTAAGCATTGGACATTTCCTTCTTTATTCTGCCATGATATAGGGGAAAAAGGAGTGAACTCCATCTGTTGATTCTCCAACTCAATGATCATGCTTCTTTAGTAATCAAGGAATCTTGTAGACAGAGTCTTGGTGAAAAAGTTAACACTTCGTTCATATATGATTTAACCGCACCAGATTGTGACATCTCAACCGCTATTCTAATAATCCCAGCTTAAGGACTTTCAAGAATCTTTTGTAGTTAGATTGACATTTCTAGTTAAACTGGCTTATGGATGTACAAAGTATGATAAATATTGCTATCTGAGTATGCTCCATTGCTCATCACATATCAGATGACATCTTCTTGCGACTTTGAAAATTTATGCTCGTCTGAGGAGTGTAATAAGATAATGAAAATTTCAACTCACTGTAAAATACCTGAATTATGATTGCTTGCTTGACTTCAGTGTTGGTTGAAGAAACAAAAGGATGTCCTATTTCCTGCTTTACAAGAGACTGGGGAAAAGGTTATCTGGACTTCTGGGCTTATTTTTGGAAAAGGAGAGGTATTTACTTTCTTTGATTTCATTACATTCTTTTACATTGACATAGAACTTTTATGTACACTTTTCTTATTTCATTATATTATACCGCCTATGCGCATATCTGCATCATACCAAACTTGTGCAGTGGATTATTCTATCATCTTCCAGTGCTCTTACTTGTTCTATTAAATGTGCAATTAGGCAGGGTTATTACAGTTGCCTGTAGATCAGCCTTATACGATTTACTGCCTGCCCCACTCTTGGCACGGTTAACCCAGCTTGGAATTTGCTCCAGTTGATAAAGGATTGCCAATAAAATGCTAAGCAATAATAACATTCATAACTCAGAATTTTGCTTCACAGTGATTCCATTGCATGGGGAAAATGCTTACTCAGTGATAATTGACATAAGCTAAGTGCCAAGTAGATTACTTCTAGCAGGCTTTATACTTCCTGCTGGCTTAATTCGCTTTTATTATCAGGGAGTCAACAAACCTAGTTAACGATGTTATGACTTCCATTTTGAACAGGAACTTAGTAACACCATCAGACAACACCTAAATATCGTGTTGTGTGATACATGTGTCCAACACGTCGAGTCCTTTCTGCACAAAAGACTTGAGTAGAAGTATTTGTCTCACAATTTGTAATTAATCCATAAATTCCAATTTCATGCGCCTGGCTCATTGAGAATTATTGCATAGAGAGAACATGGTCATTTTGGTTCGTATCATCCTATATCTTTCTTTTTACCTAAAAATTTGAGTAGTACAATATATTCTTTTAAAAAACCCCTGGTGTCATGCTAGATCAGAACAAATGTATTTCATTGTAGACAACTAGTTCCGCAGTCTCTTTAACTGTCCTAAGGTATGTTTTTCATTTATTAGCCCTTTTCTTTTAGCTGAAATATTGCTTTTCCAGCCTGTCCCACTTTCTGTTTCCTTACTCTTCTGATAATTAATAAAATTGGAGCATTTTTTGTATGTTCTCTATTTTCAGTTCATTTGTCGCATAGCTAATTTATAATAATCTTCATTTCTCATAAGTCATCCACACTAGCACTTTAGAAATTGGGAACATCTTTAAGTATTTGGTGTTTCTTAACCAAAATAACATGCCAAGTGAAGAATATATTTCTAGGTTCAATATCTTTTTACTGGCTTGTAACTTTTGTCAGGGTTAAGGTACCCAACCAACTGAATATGGTACTCCCACTGTTTTAAATGTTATATTTTCTTACTTTTGGTAAATGTATAAGCCTCCCAATTCTTTGAGAATCTTACATTAATTTTTCCATCCTGAAGATTGGAACCATCATATATCAGTTTCCTGATACTGGTTCTATGGGCATAAACTTAAGGAATTGGTAATCTCAGAAATTTTCTCTACTTTTTCTACCTCATGCAGGGCATCGTTGGTTTGGAAACTGATCATGGAACTCTTCATATCAAAGTAAGCACTATTCTTCTCGCTATTGATCTTGAGGTGAAAGATGGTTATAAGTTCTAATTAGTCACTCAACATTATGAACCTTCTTTAGATATTCCTGAAGCTTCTTGATCCGACCCATATAATCTTGATCTTCCGCACATAATGTAAAGGGCTTGACATCAGCACATGGTCCTTCAAATTGCACGGGTCCTGGGTTCCTATACATGTCACCATAAGCTAACTTGAAGCTTTCTGTTTAACAACCAATAATACATAAAAAGTTAACATCAGTCCTGCAGTTGACAAGGCAACATTAAATAATATCCTTGCTGAATGCTGGGGCAAGACTGGTTTCATGATGTATACGCAAGATATATTTGAGTTTCTAATGTATGTCATACTATTCTCTTAATATTTTGCAAATCATTTTTTCACACTGGAATAGTTGCAAGCTTTGTAGCATGGGCTATTCTATTATGAACTTGTACCTGTTTCAGACATGTCGACACCCTTATCCAATGTTGAAAATAACAAAAATGAGTTATGTAACGCTTGTCCTCTTGTTAAGAGTTAAGGAAAAATTGCAAAAAAACGTAATGTGTAACATATGTTATATTATTTATTAATTATTTAGATATTTTATAAATACTAACAATACATAATAACTTTAATACTTAGAATCATCAAACTTTTCAAACATAACATCACAATTATCAAATATAAAAAATATAGTATCACGATTTCTTAACAAAAGTTAGTCCTCTATGACCAACAACCATTCCAAAAAGCATCATCAAATGATCAAGTTAACGTTGTTACATTTAAGGCAATAAAAACAAGTCTAAACAGTTCCAACTCTCGAGTTCTTAACTTCACAATAATATTCTAATTCCTAATCAAGTTCACTACATCAACGAAACTAAACATGATTATGTAACAACAATAAGAATTTTACATATACGGAGATTGCGTGCAAACTTAATTTCACAAACTCCAGTATTAACTGAAATTTGAAAACTAAAACCTAGTCGAAATCAAGTAATAGCTGAAAGCAATTATTTAACCAACACAATTAACCCACTAATTAATCTCAGCACTCTAATTTCGTGACATATCTTAGAAATTTATGTTGAAGGTAAAGTAATGGAGCAACAAGTTTGATATGATTTATAGTAAATTGGCAAGATAAAAAAATTGAAATTTGGAAGGTAATTTTAGAATTATTGTTTATTTAAAGGATATAAACTGAGATGCCTGATATAACTGAAAAATAAAAAATTTACCTCACAGGAGTCATAGAAGCCGCCGATAGCCAAAGGAGTTTAAGAGGAGGCAAAGAGCTAGAATTTGGGTTGGAGGAGGCGAAGAGATCGCATATTGGAAAGAAGAAAATAGGGTGATTGGGACTAAAAGGGGTAGGGTTTAAATGATTTGGACGATGGAGACACATCAATGCGTAATTAGATGCAATTTAACCTAAAAAACTCATGTTAACTGGTTATATAACTTAATGCACATTTAATGCAATACAACGTATTTTTTGGGTTAAACAATTTCATGTTTAAATGGGTGTATTACCTAACAAGAGGGCACCGTTAAGTTACAAAATGGGTTATAACGGGTTATGTAATGGTTTTTTTAAACACCATCCTTATCATGCGCCAGTATTTATTTGCAGACTCCTTATACATTTTTATGACTACAGAAGAAATAGATCTTGGGTCTTCAAATTTCTATAGGGTAGCTCGATGTATCTCACTTTTTATATTTAAACATATCTAAACTTATCATAATTTCATGCAAGTAAAATACTTTGATGGGTTTTTCCATTAAAGTATATTGTTTAATGTGTAAGTGGAAGATCATAAATACTAGTTTAAACATGTAATGTGAAACACGAAAATGTACGAGAAGGCAGAATGTGCCCTAGAAAGCACCCGACAAGTGTGCTAGATTAGAGCATCTATTAAAATTGAAAGTAATATCATTGCACATATGTGCTCAATTGTTGTCTACATATATTTTATATCTCCTTGTCCTACATTTAAAGAATTATAGCGTCAGTGTCAGTGTTCGTGTAGTATTCATGTTCCTCGACCGCGTCCATGCATCTTAGGTTTTAAGTGTCATGCAGTTGCATGAGCGAGTACAATGCAATATACTCTGCAATATCTGACATTTATCAGATGAAATATATTTATGACGTTACTGAATGTTTTTAAGATGATACATCAAGTGATTTTAGACAATCCATTAGTATTATTAGCATGATCACTAATTCTCTTGTTGGTGCTTCAGTCCAAAGCAAATTTGAATGTTATGAAACTAAAATAAACTGTAACACTGTACAGCTAAAAAAGGGCTTTGCTATTGGCAAACTCTCACATTAGTAAGAATACACATAAAATATTTGAGACAAATATTCTGATATATCTTTGATCATGCTTGCTTCCAACTGATTACCAGAAGAATTATGTGCGTCTTGGGTGACCCCTTTAAAATTTGGCGATCATGAAAGTTTTTTCTCGTATTTTGTTGTCCTTCCAGATTTCTTTGCCTTGAAGTCTCTACTCTTGTTCTATGTTTGTGATGAGTGATCTTTTACAAAACTATCTTCCTTACGAACTTGCTTCTAGGAAATAGATTTTTTCTGCTTGGGATGGACATTTAGAAGAAAGGATATATACTCTTGAATTCCAATCTCATTGCTGATCTTAGTTTGGTTCCAATGAACATCATGGAAGGAGGCAAAAAGTCTATTTTGCTGGCTGTCCACATATGTGTAATATTGCATGGCTATAAGAAATTTTTATATTTCAATTGTACAATAGTGTTATCTGCCTATTAAAAATTGATAAAAAAGGATTTGTTAAATTTCAAATGTGCAGAAGTAATGATTGCCCTTTTAGCCAGCTACAGGCAGTTTAAAATGCATAGCTAGATATAGGGTAACAAACATGTCAGTCTGAGTAAGTTTTTGGTTGGGTTAAATTAGATCTTACCAAGAAGTCTTACATTAATTCAAGTTAATTAATTACGGTTAAGTTTTCAGGATGACTCCAACCCACCTTTCAGTAGGTCATCAACCTGAGCCAGTCTGATAAGTTTCTTAGTAGAATCAGATTCAACTTTGATTGTTGATCAAGTTTAAATGAGTTAGAAAATTTTTTGTGTTGCTCTCCTGGAAGTCGAACAATTTTAACTGAGCATGCAAAGCTGGTCAAACAACAAAGTAGACCTTTGCACTGTTCAATCAATTACTCATGCTCGACCCTTTTCACCCAGTCAATTGCCAATTGGATAAAAGAAACCACTTCACCAGATACTTTAAGTTCCCTGCAGTGATCAATGATGCAAACTGTAATTTTTGTGTATTTTATAAATTGACTTATATAAAGGCATCTACTTTTCTAAGAGTATAAAATTTAACCAACAACTACCTTGTATATGTCTTTGATTGACATTTTAAATATGCTTTATTATCTTTTTATGCATTCTGGAGTAGATTGTCTTATGAGCAAATTGCCCTTTAAGCAAGTTCTTCTAAAATGTTTTCAAGTCAATGAAATTAGTTTCAAAAACTTGAGGCAGTCAATGTATCTACACTGTGCGATGGGCAATGACACCATGATGATAATTTTATCTTTAATTTACATTTTAAGCAATTATTTAGACTCCACATTTATGATCCGCATTCTTTGGCGAAAGAACTCTTCAAAAGTATAGCTTCGATGCCAATACTTATTCAATGTTAAAAACATTACAAATTATCGAATCTATGGGCAAATGATAGTGTACACATGCCGTCGTATTCCCTCTCTGGTAGAATGTTTTGAAAGCTGGTTATTGTTTTTATGGCCCAACAAGTCTGCTCTAGTTCACATGCTAAAACAATCAATGACAACAGAATCCCAAACTTATGATCATATTTTAAGAATCTCTTATGCAATTACGGCTATTCAGAATTCCAATATCAGACATTGGAATTTTCTGCAGAATCATTGTAAACATTACTGTCACTTTTTCTTACCTGCCTTTGCCAGTCCGCTTCCTTTTTGGTTGTGTCATACTGTCGTGAATTCAAGCTGGAGATGAGTTTATCAAGTTCATCATTTTTCAACATCTTAAGTCTGGAATGCCATGCAGTATAGTTCTTTGGTTATCTGATCTTCTTTGTAGCTGTATTCTTTTGTTGATCATTGTTTCCCTAGAAAATTTCCCATGCCCCTCAGTAAACTAGCACAAACTGACTGTGAAGTCATTGGGAGCATGTTTTGCTCACATTCACTTTTTGCATATGTTCCATTCATCAAAGTGATCTGGATAAGTAGATGCTTACTTATTTGTTTGGTAGGAAAAACTAAGGGTAAATTTCACAAAATCCCCTTAGAAGTTTGGCTCATTTTGAGATAACCCCGAAAATGTTTGAGAATGTCATGTAACCTCCAAAACCTTTTCATTTTTCTGATTCTACTTCCCTATAACCCCTAAATTTTGGGGTTATCTAGAATGTTTTGGGTGGTTAATTGACGTTTACATAGTTTTGGGGTTATCTTAAAATGGACCAAAATTTTCGGGGGGTTTTGTGAAATTTACCAAAGAAGAACTATGTATTGCTAGCATGGAGGGGTTTGTAGAGCTTGAATTGCACTGATTTAGATGTTTGTACTGTGTAATTGTTCATGTGTACCTGGTATGAACTTGTCCGATTCTCATCTCTGCTATTTATCCAATTTTCCTATTATTTATTATAACATCCTTATTCTCTTTTTTAGGCACTAGAACTGCTTTTGTTATCCTCTTATGATATTAAGATATTTTGACTTGTATACAGCTTATGCCTGATTGTGCTCCATATTCTGTGTCATATATTGTCGAGCTATTGGGATCACGACATTGTGCTGGTTGCCAATTTTATAGGGCTGAAGGCCGAGGAAGTTCATGGGATTCTCAAGGGAATCACATCACAGATGTAAGTTACTCATGTCTTGCACTTTGGATTACTCTTTATTTGGTGCTTTAATGATCAAGATAGAGAGTTATATGGGCACATTCGTGAGTATAGTCCCGCGATGGAAAGGATAAGAAGAGTGATGGGTTTACATAAGAGTTAGGCACCATACCTAATATATTAAGCTTTTTAGCTTTTTGGGTTAAAGTTGGTTCTTAGCTCTATTTAAGGTCCATTTAACTCCAATTTGGGCCTGATTTCTCCCTTCAGCAATGGGTAACGGAAGCCCATCATGGGTGATCCGGATAGTTAGGAGGCTCTAATACGGTTCCCATGATCTTCGGTCCGATTCCGGACTGGGTTATCCAAAAAAGAAAAAGAAAAAGGGTATCTGAGCCAAGGTTTTGGCTCAAGGAAAATTGAACTCCAAATGTGAAGCATGAAGTTGTCAGGAGATTTGACTATGGCCAAGAAGATCCAAGGATGGTTGGCACTTGGCATGTCATGTTGCACCCATGGTCGTCGGTTTAGATAAAGGTCTAGTTAGACCACAGGTTGTGGGAAGATTCTAGGGATGTTTGTAGGCATGTTACTGCTACATTGCTACTACTTTAGTGTAAAGCCGGGTTAGTCCATAGATGGATGGTGCCTGAGATTTCCTGTAGGGATGATGATGGTCTGGTTAGTCCATAGATATTGGAAGATTCCATGGATGTTGAGTAGCCATGTCACCTTCCATGGTTGCCTGTTTAGATCAAGTCTGCAAAAGATCCATGGTTCCCACTGGTGATTGAACTATACTCACAAGTGAGAGGGCATATTGTTGGGATATTCAAGTGCGAATATAGTCTTACATTGAGAAGGATAAGAAAGAGTTTGGATTTAAAGAGAAGTTGGGTTCACTTCCTAATAGCTTAAGCTTTTGGGTTAAAGTTTGTTCGTAGCTTCTATTTAAAGCTCATTTAACTCCTGTTTGGGCAAGATTTCTCCCCAACAATTTAACTATTTATAATCTTCCAAAATTAAAATATTGTGGTTCTACAAGATTCACATCATGTATGGAGTTACTTGAACAGTAATGCTATATTGTGCATAATTTTAAGAGTGCAACTGAATCAAACAGCATCAGCCTTATGGAATCTAGAACCTAAGCTTAAATCTGTTAGATGATGATTACATGGTAATATGAGCATCCTGTCATAGAGTTTGCTTAGTTTGACATCTTTGGCGACCTATACTTGACATTTTCATAGTTAATTTTCACTATTTTATTAGAACTAGAGTCTTAATTTCACATGTGGTATATGTATTTAAATTGAGAATTTAACCAGAAGCATTTAAGAAAGAACAATTCTATAAGCCTGACACTGGTCTAGAAAGGGATTGCCACTTGGTTTGCTTTCACCAATACTACACTACTAAAATAGTTCTGGTTGGAACTGCCATTTCACAAACAGCTACTGCTTTTTTCTCGGCTAAAATTAGGGTACAGGGTCTAGATGAGCAGTAAATAAATCCATATCTGTGGTTGGAGTCCTAAGCCTTCAGCTGTCAACCAAAGCCATCTCTAGGTGCTCGTGTCTATTTAATGTCCATAATTAATAATAGATAAATTCTATTTATGATGCATCTAAAGATGCTCGTTCCCCTAATCTTTTTCTAGGATGAGGCAACAACAACAACAACAGTAGAAATAAGAACTATTTTTACACTTGGGTCTATTTAAGCAGAGGAGGCTGTGGCAACTACGTAGGAGGCAGTCCTACTAGATGATGGTGTATGTGCTTTTGGAATTGCGGAGGAGGGGTTAGTTGGCTTCGAAGAGGGTAGAGAAGAGAGTGGATTCTTTGGTAGGGGTGAGTTGGTTTGGAAGAGGGTAGAAAAAAGAATGGATTTTTTTTGGTAGGGGTAGAAATAACAATTGAATGCTTCATTGTTCCAAGGAAAAGAGCATGTTTGGAAATCTTAGGTTATAATCCATAGGTAGATTATAATCCAAGTGGATTAAAATGTTAGGTGTCTGGTAAATTGGGTGGTTTATAATCCATGTGAGAAGAGAGAAGGAGAAAGAAAGGAATGTGAAAGGTGATGTTTTTCCTTTTTTTTTCTTTTTGTTGGTCAAACGTGTGGAGGATTATAACTCACCAAAAAATGACTAGGATCCTAGGTTATTTTTTGGTAGATTATAATCCAAAATAATCTGCTAGAAATGGGGTTATCAAACAAAAAAAATTAGATTATAACAAAAAGTGAATTATAATTCACTGTTGACCAAGTTAACGAACATTGCCAAGTTGGAAATTTTGGCTTGAGAAAGGAAATTTAGGAGGTAGCGGTTGTAGGGCATAGAATAATAAAAGTGAAGATAAACAAGTTGCTGCTCTTTCAATATATATGGACTCGGGCGGTGTAAAAAGCATTAGAAATAAAGATTAAAGGAAAACACCTCTTTGAGTGGAGTATTCAATTATCTATCATTATTAATTATGGAAAGGTAAATAGGCTAGAGATTGTTTCGGTTGACAACTCGAGGCTTTGAAAATCCAACTATAGAGATGGATTTTAGTTGACAACTCATGTTGACTCAGTACCCTAATTTTAGGGGAGAAAACATTTGCTTTTTATACAGTGGCAGTTCCATGTGCAACTGCTTTAATAGAATAGTATAGATGGAAGAAAGCTAAGTGGCAGTTATCAAGGGAACACACGGATCTAATTTGTTAGTATTTCAAGAAAAAAACATTTGAAAGGGTAAGGAAAATGGACACATGAGGAACTCAATGTACCATGTGAGTCATATGTAAAAATGATTAACTTTTCCAAGAAACCGAATCTTAACAGATGTCATGAATTGAAAATTTACATATTTAATGATAATATTTTATGGCCATAGAGTTAATTTTTCATTTCCTTTCCCCTGTTTTTATTGCTTGAATGTTGTTCTTACTACTAGTTCTATTTGCTTTTTTAGAAAACTGAAAACAAATATTAGAATTTAAAATAGGTTGAAACAAGTTTTCTTAAATATCTCCTTTTGGTGCTTGTGTTTCTCTTTTAAAGCAAACGAACTTAACGCGTATCTTTCAATACTGTATTCCTTTAAGTTTGCATCTATCCTATCCAAGCTATTTTCTTAAATACGCCTGCATACTCCAGTATCTAACCAAACTTCATACTCAATATCTGATCAATGTTTTCTTTTTTTTGGTTCCAATACACACCATACCAGGTAGTTGTCATTACTATGCATTTTTATTTCACCCTTGAACTTTATTTATTGCACTTAAGCCCCTAAACGTGTCTCACTTAGCCTTCCAATCCAAGCAATCACTGTGAACAGGTAATGACATCAAGTAAGTGATATTTTTTAAATCCTTCAAAGTTCACGCGTGTTAAGCGGAATAAGCAAATTGCAAGGGGGTTGTATGCAGAAATTCACCCTTTTTGCTATTAATACATGCAATTTAGCATCTCAATCCTCTTCTAAATTCCTCAACCATTTTACTTCCTTTAAAATTTATAGGCATCTCTCGGCCCTCCCTACGCTTTAATCCAAGGAACCTTAGAAGCCGAGGGTGTCCCGTTCAAGAAAATACCGACGGAAGCACGCCCTACGATAAGAAGAGGATCGGTTGCATGGATCGGGTCAGGCCCCGAGTTCTTCATAAGTCTAGCGAATCACGATGAATGGCAAAGAGCATACACGGTCTTCGGTTCTGTTCTGCCTGAAGATATGGAGATTGCAGAGAAGATTGCTGGACTTCCGACGAGATCAGACGTCTGGAATAGTTTTAATGTTTCGGTGTTGGAAAAACCTGTGCATTTGAGGGTCAGGCGAATTCATAGAGAGTCAGAGCAAATGTGAGCTTGTAAATGAAAGAACTACAGGTTTCTTCGTGATTTAGTCATGCATCTTGTGTGTGTGTGTGAGTTTTTTCGAGATGCCTTTATGAGGTTTTTTTTTTCCTTTCGAATACGTGCTTCACGAAGTCAGATATTTAGTTTTTTTTTTTATTTACATTCTAACTCCTTTAATACAACCTATCAACCAATATTAGTTAATGAAAGAATGAGAGGTGGGGGGTGTTTTTCTTCAATTTCTAATTCTCTCCTCTTAGTCCTCTATGAGATTCTTATAATGAATAGTGTAATGGAAAAATCTTAACCCTTTGTTACTTCGTGAAATGGTTCTAAACTTCTAATCCGTGTGAAATTAAGTTAGACGTATCTCAAAGAAATAAGTTTTTTTTTTTTTTTTTGAGCTAGAGGAGGAGAAACACATGATTTTACTTGTACTAGATTTTATGCATGTGTAATGCATGTGGTTAAATACTGTGATTAGATATTTTTGGTTTATTTTCTTACAAAAATTTGTTCCTCAATTACTCTTTGATAATTTTTGCCCACTTTGATTAAGTATTTTTGGTTTATTTTCTTACTAAAATTTGTTCCTCGATTACACTTTGATTATTTATTTATTTGATGTTTGTTTAAATAGACTATAGCCGGTTAAAATTTTTATGCTGATAGTTGAATTGTCAGGAGATAAATATAATCTAAAGCCAATTTAAATTTTTATTTCATTTTGATTGGCATGAAATAGTGCTTGACCTGAGAAAGTATAGTGTTATGAAAGTGAAAACACTTGAAAAAATAACATTATAAAAGGAAGATGAATAATAAAGCCAACGATTCAAGATGATTGATTTAAAGTGGGCTAAAATGACAGAAAATAGTTAATGAAAAAAAATCATGTTAAGCTTATTTAAGTAAATAAATATATCAAAATGTAATATTAACATCTTTAGGGCTAAAATTTAACTAAGGTTAAGTCTATATTTTTTCTATATGTAATATTAATTTTCTTCATGATAATTTTTCTTACAGTTTGATATATTTTTTTAGATTATAATATTAATATTTAATTTTGATATATTTATTTCATGAAGAAAAAATATCATGAAGGAAAAAAAATCATATTTAGGGCTAAATTTTATTGGGAAAAATGTGTCGGGGTCCAAAAGCTGGAAAATCATGTGACGAGGCCCCTTGTATTTTCCCCCGTGTGTATAAGCCCCAAAAAACAGCCTTTAATATTTTCAGGCCCCTCCACGTCAGTTGTATACAAAAAAAGAATTGTATTTTATGAAAAACCCAAGTTTGCCATTCTCCTTCGTCCCCAGACGGTATTGTTGGCCTTCTTGTTTTGATGATGATTTAACAAACAATTTACATCTAATATTGTTTGTCTAGTGTTTGTGATTTGTATTCATTATAGACAAACAATATGTTGGAGGGTGGATGGAATTGCGCCATAACGATCATATCAAATGGAGGTTGGCGGAATAGTGGAGTGAAGTCTTGCTATAAAGTTAAAGATCCAATTACAAGCTTCATCCAAGTTTACCAAGTTGAGCTACAATGAAGATCAAGATCAAGCTTGAGTAACATTTAGTTTAGGAGTTTATATTATGTATGTTAGTACTTTAAGCTCAATCATATACACACATACACGTATTGGTTTTGTATATATATAGTTATATATATACATATATGTTTTGGTTTGATGGTTTTTAAGTTTTAATATGAAACAATTTAATATAATTAGAAAACATATTTTTGTTTCATACTTATATGCATACATATGATTTCATCAATATCAATTTTATTTAGTTCAATGAAATCATGTTTTAGTGCATTATATGTGTATTTTGATAAAATACTACATCCATTATTTATAGACTTCATAACAATATTGTAAAGTTTTAAAATATGGTTTAGGCAAAATGTCAAAATTTATATGTTTACATTTCTATGTTTTGGACCTCCTTACAAAATAATGATATTTTACATTTGGGAAGTCCTTTTTGAAAACCAGTTTTTGTAGCATGTTTATTATCATGTTTACAATCATTTTCTAAAGTTTTACATTTTTCTGATTTTATTTGCTATTTTTAAAAGAGCTTTGAAAAACAGATTTCTGTTTAAAACAGACTGTGTGCATGTCTAGAGTCGACTCATGAACAGTGTTGAGTCAACTCATAAACTGTTGTGTAGTTTACATTTTGTTTCTGATGAGTCGACTCATAAACATCATGAGTCGACCCAGACAGGTTGAGTCGACTCATGCCTGTCATAAGTCGACTCACAAACTGTGCTGGAAAGTGTGTTTTGTTTCTGCTGAGTCGACCCATGACTTCATGAGTCGACCCATGCATGATGAGTCGACTCATGGATTTTATGAGTCGACCCATAAGTTATTTTTAGCCTATAACGGCTAGTTATGAGTCGACTCATGAACAGTGACGAGTCGACCCATAACACTGTAACGTCTATATTTGTACAGAATCAGATTTCTGATTCTTGGGCTTTTTGGTCTTTTCCTTTGGGGTTTTTGGCTGAGGTTTTGGGTGGCTATATAAACCCCCTTTGCTCTCATTTTTCAGTTTACCCAAGAGAGTGTTTTAAACAAGTTTTAACAAGGGTTTGTGTTTGGTTTAAGTTTTGTTTAAAAAGCTTTTAAGCAAATTGAGAGTTTGTTTTGTGATATCAATTGCACAAGAGCTTGAGGAGATCAACCATTGGTGTTTGAGCATCCAATCTTTCTCCTCTACCTCTTGATTTATTGAGAAGTTTTCTAAACTCTATCTAGCTTTACATTTTGTATTGTTTGATTATCATTCTATTAAGCTAGTATTTACATTTGAGTTTAGTTGATTATATTTCACACATTGTTTACACACACCCACATTGAGCTTATTGTATTTATATATAGTATATTTGGGTTGGTGAGTGTTGTAACTTTGAGTGTGAGCTTACATTGAGTTCTCATCTATTATAGAGAACAAATCTTTTGTTATATTGTGAGATTGTAAAGTTTTCGGTGAGCTAGAAAACCGAGTGTGAAATGTAGACGTTGATCGGTGAGCATTGAAAACCGACATTGTGAGAGTGTGAATTGTGAAGTTTTCGGTGAACTAGAAAACCGAGTGTGAGGTGTGGACGTTGATCGGTGAGCGTTGAAAACCGACATTGTGAGGTGTAAACGTTATTCGGGTGAGCGTAGAAAACCCGGTTGTGATAGTGGATTTCTCCCCGGGAGTGGGGAGCGGAGACGTAGGACGGAAGGTCCGAACTCCGTGATCATTTGATTGTGTTTGAGTGTGCTTTGGCGTTTATTCTTATTTGTACTCATTGCTCATATCGCCATTGTCGCATTATTTACTTTGCCCATTATCTTGTTTATGGTTATTTCACCCTTGTGTTAATTTGTATATCCTTGCATATATCTCATAGTATATCTCATTTCTAGGATATATCTCATTGTTCATATTGATTATTCTTGTTTATAACACTTGTATATCTTTCTTGCAAGAATAATTCTTTAGTAAGTTTTAATTGGCTTAAAATCGGATTAGATTAGCATAAGACCCTAATCACCCCCCCTCTAGGGTCTAACAGGTACGTTACCACTCTTCGTCACATCCCATTGAATGCAAACTACAGTAAGAAATGGAGGGAAATTTCCCCCTTTTCCCTCTATCACGAGCGATAAATATTTAGTTCTCCATTACTCTTCCTCAGACGAAAATTCTCTCCATTACTCTCTCAATATTACTCCTCTTTGTCCCAAGTTCGATCCATTACTCTTCCCTCCACTTCATAATGGCTGAAAAGGGCATCACCTGCATCGTAGCTTCGGGGGATAGAGCAGTATTCATGAAGATTAACACTTCAACCACCATTCTTCATCACCTGCATCGTAGCTTCGGGGGATAGAGCAGTATTCATGAAGATTAACACTTCAACCACCATTCTTGATCTAAAATTTGATGTGTCAGATAGGTTAGATCTTCCATATGAATCATTAAGTTTGTCATTCAAAGATGAAACGAATGGAAGCTTCAAATTTCCTATTAAGAACGAGGGGGATCTGTCGTCTATGGTCGAGCATTGTCATAACAGAGGATTAAAGGAGGTTCACATGCAAGCTTTCAAGGAAAAAGAGAATTCTTCACAAGTCCACAGCGCCGTTCAAGTTCGACAAGACATGTAGGGGCAAGGATTTATTTGATGCTAAGACCAATATTCATGTAATATCAGTTAATGTTAGTTCATTGGATTATAGCTCGGATTTGGGTGTATGTTATCTCTAATCGATTTCATGACAGTTCTATAAACTGTGAATTCTAGTTACAACTGTATTTGTATGAAGGAGGTTCATGCTAGTTCTTGTTCTACGTGAATGTATTAAACATGTCGGTTCTAATAGATTTATTGTTAACTATAATCTATTAGTTGTTAGTTCCAATAGACTTATTGTTAGTTCTAATCGATTTGCTATGAGATCTAGTTCAAACCGTGTTAGGTCCAACATGTTAGTTCTAACTGACTTCATGTTCGGTCTAAACGTTTTCATGTTAGTTCTAAATGAAATCTTGTTAGTTCAATTGGATTCCATGACAGTTATAACACAAGCAGTTGATGTTTTCTGCCTTTTCCTTATTTGTGTTATTTGTTGATGTTTCTATTGTATAGTTTACTATCATTTGTTCATGTTCTTTATATTTACAGCGTTTCCAGCAGTATGAACTCAAAAAGTATAGAGGGTGGCCCGCCATTGTCGACGCCCACATGTTTTTCAGATAGGATTCCCAATAATAATCCTTCCGGAGATAATGTTCTGATGATTGATGGCATGATTAGCAGATCAAAGAGGATTCCTGCTTGGTGGCACACTGCTTTAACCGGTGAGGGACAACGGTTTGAGAGTGCGAAGGAATTAAGATTGGTTTTACTATACTATTCCATGGCCAAAAAATTCGAGTACTTGTTTGCTAAGAATGAACCGAAGCGTATTCGAGTCTTTTGTCGGTTCAAGGAAGCCCAAAATTGCCCGTGGATATTATTTGCCTCTCTAACACAAAATGAGAACAGACTTGAAATCAAAACCTTCGTGGACAACCACACTTGTGGGAATCATGGTAATAATGCAGATCAATCTAGGGCG